TCTATATAAATATATTTTGCAAAACAAATTTCAACGATTCAAAACGACTGCCGGCAGTTTTGGTTTCCATCAAAGAGAGTGCATCCCCGATCATTCACTTTGTCCGACAAAGGGGTTGATCCTATCACTATGATCACCCACTTAGATGAATTCTCGGACTGTCCCAACATACCTAGGTTTTGACCCCCTCTAAGCATCTCACTAATTGGCATATCAAAGACAGCCCAATCCGACACCTAGTGTAGTATCATAATCGAGTCTAAGGTCAGGTGTAACATTCCAGTTTTGCCCATCTATCTCCAAGGTCCAGGGCAATACTGGAATTTTGGTCCGGTTCAGGGTTTCAAGAAAACCCACACTGCATGTACCTCAGGTCTCACCCTGGTAGCTGAGACAAGCCACCCCAACCAACTTGGCTGCACATCAGTGTCAGCCTTGGCAAGATAAATCTCCCCAGATCTATCCAACAACTGTGAAGATTCTAAACTAACACGAGTCTCATATTTGTCCAGTTTAAGGGTATTACATAGAAACACACCATAATAACATGAATCAAATATATACTTTATTCATTTACATTAAATGTCATAATGTACATCATTCTGATACACTGACCAAGGTCGACCTATGTAAGGTGATTCTACCTCCCCAATGAAACGTGGCTCCTCTTACACACAACTAAGTTTTTTTGGAAACCTGTTTGCCACAAGGTTTTAAATCATTGTCATTCTATGGTTGCCTCCTAAGGGAAGATCAAGATACTTCAAAGGGACAGAAAAGTGTGAGATATAGAAAGAAAACCTAGGAGAAGAGAAAGAAAAGAGATTGAAAGAGAAAAGTCTTTGGACATTCAAACTCATGGGCAGTCTGTCCCACACATTGGATATAATAAAATATAGTTAATTACATCATTATCCGTAATAAAATGATGTATATTATGACTATTACTCTTATTATAATAAGGTAAAACACTTATCCCAACACTCCCCACATTATGTGACTTTGGTAAAAGAATTAATGCTGGCTGCCAACCTGAGGCAACCCTCCTTTATCCAAGCAATCTTCTATTTGTACATATGGTAAACTTATTTCTCCAACAGGAACCTTTTCATGAGAAAAGTGTATATTCACCTCAATGTGTTTTATCCTATCATGTTGGACGGGATTATGTGCAATGCTAATGTTAGCTTTATTGTCACAGTACAGCTAGGATCAGTCACTGAAATTCCAACTCATGTAATAATGTCTCCAACCATAACAATTAACAAGCACCAAGAGTCATGGCACTATACTCCGCTTCAGCACTACTGGGATACTAATTGTTTTTTGCTCCTCCATTACAAGATTTCCCTAACAAATGAACAATACCCTGAAGTAGATCTTTTATCAACAATAGATCCTGCACAACCTGCATCAGTATAAACTTCAACTTTTAAATGACCATTTCTGCAGAACAAGTCCTCAATTGGGTATTCCTTTTAAGTAGAACAAGATTCGGTTAACTGTTTCCAAGTGAGAAGTTATTGGAGATGCATCAACTGGCTTACTACTCCTATAGCATAAGCAATATCATAACAAGCGACAGTAGATAAGCTTCCCAACCAACCGTTGAAATATACCCACATTGGCAGTCTTTTCACCACAAATATTGTCAACTTTGGGTTTTGTTCCATTGGAGTATCAGCTGGTTTTGACCCAAGCTTACCAATATTTTGTAGAAGATCAAGCACATATTTTCTCAGGTAAGTAAAAATCCCAGCTTTGGACCTAGCCACCTTGATAGAACACAACTACCATAGCTCAGAAAAACACTTCCAAAATCCAACTACTGATCCAATCTTCATGCTTTCTGTTTCATTTGATTCCAAATTATGACTCAAATCAAATGGAATTGCCCCACTCAACAAATTACTTCCATTAATCATCCACATCCAAAAACAACAAATCCGTATTTTTTTTCTTATTTCACAGAAAAATCCAATAAAAATGTGTACCTCTTCCAAAAATTTATCTTCTCTACCTGATAGTAGTGTCTCCTTTGATCACCCTTATTGCAGTCCATACATCTTCTGACATCACTTGTATGGCATGGTGATATCAGCAGTCTTGCTCGTCCACTTCTGGAGAACCACAATCATCAGGCAGATGGATTAGCCATGGCTATGATACCAAGTAAAAAAGTGCAAAGTATAGAGAGAAGAAAACCTCAGAGAAAAGAGAAAGAAGAGAGATCAAGAGATAAGAGAATTTGGACATTCAACACCATGAGCAATATGTCCCACACATTGTATTATATAATAGAATGTAGTGAATTACTTTATTACCCCTAATAACATGATCTTGTGCATCACACTTATTAGGTAAAACACTTTTTCCAACAAAGGACCAAGAAGAGGTAGAGCACCCTAATATGTCCACAATTATGGCTAATTCATCCCCCGCCATATTGATTCCTGCAACACAACTCTCTGCCCAATTTTTTTCTGACATAAAACTCTCAAAGCAACTTATCAAAAGTTGTAAATTCCTTTTGCTGTGTTCCCCATTCTCCTCACAAAATATTAGTGACCATAGTTTCCCTTCTTCCTACTCTCCATGACTTTATCAACCCCAGATCATCCTCCCTTGAGATTAACCTGCTGAAAACATCAGATTGACTCTAAGTCTCTAAGGCTGTGTTTGGTTTGAAAGAAATGGGAAAGGAAGGGAATAAGTCAATTAAGGAAGAGGTTTCCTTTCCTTTCCCTTTTCTTTCAAACCAAACACAGCCTAAGAGTGTACCACATGAGTGATAATTTTTTTTCAGAATCTATTAGGCCATCTTTGAATCCATAAGCCATTCACTGAATCAGATCAAACTATATATCTTATCAAAATTATAAGAGTGGGTTAATTCTAAGGCTGTCTTGTGCCACCCGAATAATCATTTTTGTCAGTCAACTAAGTCTTCTTTGAACTGGTAAGCCATTGACTGATGCTATGAAAATCATAATCATGTCCAAAATACATCATTGCTTCAACCAGCATGCCCCAACCTTTCCCATGCCTACCCACAGGAAAGAAGAAAGTTTTCTTCTGTGTAAGAAATGCTGCAGGTGGTATCAGGAATCTGTCAGCAGAGACTGAGGATGCCAGAGTTCCAACCAGCCAACCCAGAACACAAGCAATGGAATCTCCATCAAGGAGGATGGAACCCATTCCTGTCTCCTGGATTTTGAGCACAGTAGATGTCAGTCCATGAATTTCCTCACAAATGAAGTATTTAGCTTCCACAGACACCACTAGTACTAATCTCTAAGGGGAGGCTGAAAAAACAATAATAATTCATAGTTGTACCTGGGATTTGATCCACATTAGCTAAGGTTTTGAATCTTACAGAAATGGATGTTAGATAAATGGAGTAAGGAAAGGTTAAGGGTTAAATATACTAAATAATGTTAATAGGAAAAGGAAAATAGAAACAGAATAATTCATGAAAAATACATTGGTGCAGGTGAATAAAAACCACAGTATATCCAACATGTCTCTCTTTGCAACAATGCAAGACCCTTGACTGATAATGTCATCCATTGAAACAAGATGTTCAACCTAGATGGCATACTTTAACCTCCTTGATGGAATGACAATATTTCCATAAAAATTCCAGATTCCACCTCCCAACCAATGATGGTGGTGGTACTCTGAAGTGCACCTCCACATCAGCTCATCCAAAATCATAGAGAAGGCTAGATCAAATTGAACTATGAATCTTGTCATAAATCATAGCATTATTTCTGTTTTTATAAATTTAAGAAAAAATTAAACATATTACCCTATTTTCAATCCTTACCTATCATACTAATTATTACCACCAGGTTTAACCATTTGTGGGTTGCTTAAAAAAGGTTTACCTTTTCTACATGATAAGTAATATGTATTAAATACGCATTTTATTTATTCCATTATCTTGCACATCTACGGTATGGTAATGTTATCTTGGTATATGGACTACTTGGGGTTTAGCTTCTTTCCATTCCATTTTGATTCACTGAATTGTAAATTACTTGTTTATGGTTCTCAGCACTGGATATACTAGAAGCTTATGGTTTCCGGTTGTTGGAGAAGATGGACTGAACTCAATCATGCTGAGTATCTCTATTGGCTTTTATATAGAAGCACGTAAAAGTCTCAGACTCGTGGCATTTGAAAAAAAGTTCCCTGTAGATCTGTTTGCATGGTTATGATTTATATTGTATTTCTAGTGGAAACTGAAAGTAAATCACAAAATCATGGCAAAGGGAGAATTGGTTGTAAAAGGAGATGAGTAAGGGAAAGACAAGCACTGTAGTTGGTGCTTGATAAAGCCTTTATACTTAGATCGCTGGATTGACCGGTCTCATGGTCATGTACAATGTCTACTGGTATTTTTCTTCTTCTTTTTTTTGGTCCAAAATACACAATAATTTGATTAGGAGATGGATTAATCCAGATCATCTGTGTTTGGCCTGGAAGGAATTTTTCCTTCAAATCCAACCAAACACCATCACATCAAAAAATTAGTTAGATGCAACCCACTAGCAACTGATTTTAATTGTAACTCTAAAAAGTCAATATAACATACAAAATCCATGATGTTCTTATGCATCAAACATTCGCATACTGTAAGCTTAAACCAACCTTAGAATTCATAAGTTCGACCATATCCAAAACAAAAGCACCAAAAATCACAAGTTATCCAAAAAGAAAGTGAAGGTAAAAGAAAGGAAGAAAGTTCCACCAAGTCACTAATCAGGAAGCACTTTGGTCATTATGTAGACCTGCCTAACATCAGGTGGTAGGCTAAATAAGTACTCCACCTCTCCCATATTACGAGTTAATTTCCTATCCATCCTCATCCTGTCCTGTAAGCTTAAACCAGGGATTTTTTTCAACCTTTTTGTACACTTTCATCCTCATCTCTTTACCCTTTTTAATTAGATTGAATCATTGAAAGCCTCTTCCACCTGTGCAAGTCTATCCCAAGTTGTAGAAAAGTGCTAACCCACCATAGCTAGCCCATCTGAAAGCACTCTGACCAAGGGCTCATCATCGAAGTTACTCTTGGGCCTCTTATGTGATCTGTGAAGTCAATAGGTTGATGTAGTAGCTAATTGTTGCTGAATAAATGGGGATTGTTTATGTGGTTGTAAGGACATGAATTAATCTTGCATAAACTCAAGCCCATATTGTTGGGTATCTTGATCATCAAATGATTCAGCCTCCATGCCCTGGTTTACTTCCTCTCTACCAACTGCCTCCGCAGCATTTACAAGACCCTCAACTATCTCACCATTAGCTCTATCTCTCCCAAATATAACGGGCATCTCACCATTAGCTCTATCTCTCCCAAATATAACGGGCATCTCACCAAAGTGTAGGATGGGTTTATTCCTCAATCCCTTTGCATATGGATGGCTCTATATTCATTAAGTCAACAAACAAAGAGGAAAAAGAAATGTTAACAAACTGCATGGTTGTGTTGCACTTCTTTACATCATCTCATCCAAATCTGAAGCAACCAGGCCCAAGCATCTCATAGATTACCGCATATTGACTTTTAATGTGTTTTACGCGAGACTCAATGTGAGGGATTGCCTTTAGTTCACACCTTAAGAGTTTGGACTCCATGTATTTCTCTGATGTACAAGATATCCTGGCTTGAAGGGCCCGTTATCAGCTCTCCACATTCCTGTTTGGATTAACATCATTAACCCTTCTATCAACTTTCCTTTTTCTTCTCTTGTCCACAGTTTATCGGTTCTATTTGATTTCTTCTCCTCTGTCTCCCCAGCCATTTCTATTAACATGGAATAAATTAATTTAAACAATGCAAAACCACAAATAAGTCAAGTTCTTGCCCACTAGATCTATTTAAATAAAGTGAAGAATTGCTATAAACAAACTACAAATCATTGAAAAGCATAATAAAAAGGTAATGAATACAATGTCCTCGCAAGAATAAAACGTAAACATATAATAGTACAGTTGTTAAAATCATAAATTATTAATTCATCAATTTGTTTAATGTATAAATCGTTGCCACATTTCATTTGCTAGATTGTCTCGGAATGCATTCCACCCAATACTACTTTTTAGACATGCTATATGTTTATCAGCACCTTCTACTGCACCGTGTAAGTCTTGCTCAGCAACTATGAATTCCTCAAGTTCTAGTCCATCGGGTCAAATGGCATATTTCTCCTTATGTAGTTGTTTAGTAGGCAACAAGCAATGATGATCCTACATTGGGTTTTTGTTGGGTACCAGTTTGAGGTCCTAACTATTGATCACCTTATTTTTAGGAGACCGAATGTCCTCTTAATTATATTCTTGGCTGTGGAATGCCTCATGTTGAATAACTCAGTTGGCATGTTAGGTTGGTGCCCTTGCCCTTTTCATTTAGATAGTATCCTTTCCCCCTATATAGTGCTAGGAATCCATTTCTATTAGGGTATCTAGCATTGCACAAGTAATAATGACCTAGAAATTAAGACAACATATATTAGTTAGGCCCAATTTGGAAAGAGTACAAATACAAATTTGTACAGTGTAAATACATACAAAATAATGCAAAATGCAAGGTTTTGCGCTTGACATCATGAGCCATGATGTTTAGGAAGGTTGTACATGTCCTATCATGTCTTATGGGAGATCTAGATCTCGTAAAATGCTACTTGATGAAGGGGAATTTGGCCCGACCTCGTAACAGGGAGACACGTGGGCGTGACTTAGCATAAGATACAACTCAGCATGATCAGATCGGCATGTGGGTGTGACTCGACACAAGTGACAGCTCAGCATGATCAGTTCGCTATAAAGCGACCTCGGGTACCCTGATACCCCGAACTGAAGATACCTTGAACTGAAGCTATCCCGAACTGAGATCACTTCGGTATCAGGCACGACCAGGGTAAACGAAAAGCAAGTCCGCTACAGGACAAGCCCGGGCAGATGGACCACCTCAGAAAGAATCCACCTCGAGACAAGCCTATCTCAACGCAAGATCATCAGTACTGAAGCACTTTGGCATTCAAAGTAGGTCGAGTCTGAAGGATACGAGCTCAGACAGCTCTCCCCTGGGTAGCTTGCCACCAGGTAGCCCGGCACTTCACAGGCAGCTCGCTACCGAGTCAGACCGACCCCTGCGTGGCAACCCCGAGGAGCTCACCACCGTACTCCGCATTTTACAGGACTATGACTCGTAACGGCTATATTAGCTCACCCACACCCTGGTTCAGACGGGAGCGGGCAACCTTACCGGCTGGTGGCATTTTACCCACCTAACACGCAAACGGATCCCATCACAGCGAAGATCCAGGAACCGCTCCACCAACCCACGGGGACTCCGGTATATAAAGACTTCACCCCCCAGGGGCGAAGGTATGTTTTTAATGTGTGTGTATGCGTAATCTTTACTCTCTAACTCACTGATATAATCTTCAAGCTCTCTACTACTGCTACTGTGTGCTAACTTAGCCATCGGAGTGTCCCGCCGGGTAAGCCACCTCGGGATCTCTGACTCCTCTCTTGCAGGTTACCCAGTCCTCGTCGTTGCTGACAACCAGATCGTCTCCAACAGGGAGGAATTGGATTACGCCACATCACTATTGTTGCTCCTTGTTCTTGACATCATGAGCCATGATGTTTAGGAAGCATGCAACCATATCAATTCTCATATGTCTAGTGCCCCTTAACTTACTTACACTTCGTAAGTCAAAAAGCCTATGTAGCTCCTCCTGTCCATTTGTGTGTGATGTATGTAGACCCAATGTGATTCCATGACCATAGTCTTAAGGTTTGCATGCCTATTTGTAGTCCTATCCATAGGTGTCTCCACTTGGATATCATGATCACCATCATTTAATCATATTCCCATATATGACATCATCATTCTCTTAATTGCAATGACAATATTAATTAATTGAACTAAAGCAATTCTATCATCATGCATGTCATAGTGAAGGGAAACAACAATCGCAGCCATCTGTTTCTTTTTAAGTTTATATTACGGTGGCCAAGCCATGTTTCTGCAAAACATCAATGCATTTATCTAATTTAAGACATGACAGGACATGTACAACATATAATGTCAACCACTTGAATTCAATAAACGACATCGTAATGTTGAAACAATATTAAGAAACAAACATCAATGCATTCGTCTCAGTTACTCAGCCCTAATGTTCATACGATATTAATAAACAACTATCCATCGTATAGATAAAGAAAAATATTAAAAAAAAACATGATAGAAAACCACTCCTTCAAGGCTTCCAAGCAGCTGACTGCCTGCATATCCGCATCCCAAGTCTTCACTCCAACACCATTACAGTTCATGATCTCGATAGGTATCCTCTTCATCCAATCCAAAACTATCTCCCTCCTCATCTCTCTCTCTTCCTTTTCTTCCCTCTCCTTATATTCTCTCTCCTTTTCCTTCTCCCACTCTTAAATTGATCTTTGAATGGCATGTCCAATAGGTAACCCCTGAATTGTCGTATGAAGGCCTTCAAAGGTTGATTCCTTGATTAGTGCCACCCGGATGTGATGGGTCAGTTCCCCCATTTCATGTCTAAGTAGTCTTAGTTCAGTAGTGTTATTATTATTATTGGTATTGCTGGTGTTACTGTTAGCTAGTCTTCAACATATCTGTGCTTGGTAAAAAGAAAGATAGACAGCAGTAGCAGAAGAATAAGAAAAAATGTAAAGAAATAGAAAGGGAAGAAGGAGAAGAAAGAAAGAAAGAAGTAAAAGAAAAGGAGAAGATGTATGAGAGAAGAAAAAAAGAAGAAGAGATTAAGAGATGAGAAAATGGAGGAAAGAAAGAAAGAAAGAGTTAAAGTTAAGAGAAGAATGGTCTTCAAAGAACGGATCGAATTTCACTATATTGAATAACTGTACATAGCTGAATATATATACAAAATAATAAAGAATAAATTAAAAACAATTACAAGAATAGAAACAAGGAGAATAAGGAAAGGAGCTCTAGTAGGAAACTTGCTAAGATGAGAGTTTCCTTTTTGCATTGATTGATTTCTCTTTGGTAAGAGTCATTTCTATAGTAGGTAGTTCTTCTTTGAAAAGAAGACTAGAGCCTTCTTTGGTAGGAGATCTAGGGCTCTCTTTGGTAAGAGTTCTAGAGCTCTTTTTAGCAGGGAGGCTATAGCTCTCTTTGGTAGGAGGGGAAGTCGACCTAGGATTGGTCAACTCCTCAACACGCCCCCTAAAGCAAAAGTGGGCAGGAAGCACTTGAAGTTTGGACGGAAGCCACTCAAATCGTTAAGAAGAGAGAGGCTTAGTGAAAATATCAACAAGTTGATCCTGTATGGGAAGGAACCTCACGATTAGAGACTTCTTAACGATTAGATCGCGAAGAAAATGAAAATCGACCTCAATATGTTTAATACGGGCAAGGAAAATTGGATGAGCTAC